GAATTTAGCACTTTAACTACCATGCCACCTGCTGGCCTCCTAGTTTCTCTATATTTGAGATAGCTTATCTGAAATTGAGAAAATAGGAGAAACTGCCTCAATTGGTGTGGAGAATACTAAACGAATAAAAACATGTAGGTGCTTAGTTGAATACCTGGCCCAGAGGAAGAACCTTTGATGTTGACTGACATCGTGACCAGCCCAGCTTTGTGGAGGCCCCACCACAGTCATGGAGGCCTTTTACACAAAAGCCAAAAAACTCTGACAAAGCAGGGGATTGGATGTCTGGGCCCAGGGAGGGGGCAAAGGGACTTGAGGGAACTTCTGGGGTTGATGGAAACGCTTTATATCTTGATCATAGTGGTGATTACTCTGGCATAAGCTTAAAGGACTCCAATTTTCCCCCTGATTACTCCCTTTACTGAACTAGTCCAGGCCCTCATCACTTTACAGCTCTGTATTAATGCAATTGTATCCTGGTTGGTTTTTCTGTCTCTGAGCTCTTTCTTCTCTAATTCCTCATCAGTATGCCCACAGTCAACCCCAGTTCTGGAGCCACTTCAATAATCATGCCTAGAACAGTGTATGATGACATTTGTTTAAAAAGGAGGAAAAGAAACAAGTGTGTGTAAGCAAGTATGTGTGCTTGTTTATGCCTAAAATAGCTCCAGATAGATACACGAGAAAGTGGTTATGTTAGTTGCCTATGGGGAAGGGAACTGGATGGCTGCGGGGCAGGGTGACAGGGATGTCTTTCTCTATATACCCTTTTGTTCCTTTTGAATTTTAAATCATGCGAATGTATTACCTAATCAAAATAAATAAATAAAATGAGGAAATAATAAGAACACTGCCAAGTTCATCTATTCATTCAACAAATATTTACTGGGTATCTACCACTTGCCAGGCCCACCACAGGGCTGGGGTGTCCACAGTCATGTTGGTGTTTCATCGGCGGGACCCTTCCTAAACTGCGTCACCAGCCCCGCCTGCTTGTTTAGCTTTAAGGCTCGCTGATAGGAGATTGAAAGCACTGATTAATCGCAATGGCCAAGGCAGGCATCTGATTTAGGGAAAAAACCCCAACAAAATCAGGGCCAGCTGTGCTACTAAGGATCTTCCTCCACATACTGAAAAGATGTAAAAAGCTTAGAGGTGGCAAGGGTACCAGATAATGTTTATTGAGCACCAACTTTTTATGTGCCAGACACTCTTCTAAGCACATTATCTATATTATCTTTTATCTATATCTGTATCTATATGAACTCATTTAACTGTCATAGTAACTGTGAGACAGACACTGTTATTGGTCCCATTTTACGGACGAGGAAACTGAAGTCCTGAGTGCCAATAAATGCCCAGAGTCACACAGCTAGTAAGTAGGATAACCAAGGTTTGAATCCAGATAATGTCTAACTCCATAATCCACTCTCCTGTCTTTTGGGAGAAGAATTATAAAATGTTCCTTTGTTCTAAAATACCTCTGTTGAAATTTTATTATTAATAAAAGTGACATAGAATTTTATAGTTGGAAAAGTCTTAAGTATTAAGTTGATTCAATTTTCTTTGCTTTTTCTTTTTTTCTTTTTCTTTTTCTTTCTTTCTTTTTTTTTTTTTTTTAGATTTTTTCCATAGGGAGCATGTGCTCACAGGAAAGAGACAGAGAGAGGGAAAGTGAGAAATCACCCATGGGAGAGAGATGGCCATGGCTCCAATGTCTTCTCTTCCATTCTCCTCTCAGGATTTCGGGCATGCACATTCACATGCCTGGTGTGTTTCTCAAGCTACCAGGTCTGGGACTTGAACCACTAGCCTGCCATGTAGGATCCAGTGCCTTAACCACTGTGTCATCTGAGGCCCAGTTGGTTCGATTCTTATCCAAAAGGACATCCTAGACAACTAGGCTTGAATACCTCTAGTGATGGGGAACTCATTACAGCCAGAAGCAGTCACCAACAGGCAGCTCTAATTGCTAATCAAAACAGTTAATGGTGGTTGCCTTCCATGTGCCAGGCACTTTGATGAGCATGAAGGACAAATGCTTTAATACGGGAGGTCAGATCTACCTCCTTGTGACTTCTTTCCACTGGGTCTCTGTTCTCTTTGGAACAACACAGAATGCACCTGTGGTTCTCTGCATTTCATGACAACCCTTCGTATATTTGAAGATAGCTACAAATTAAGACTGGACTACAGTGAAAGCTCAGGGACAATATAGTGAAATTATAATACAGAAAAAACCCTGACGCTGGGTAAACTGGCCTGTTCACAGAACTGCTGGCCAAACCTTCTCTCAGGATTCCCTGCTGTACAAATCTCACATGCAACTTCCAGCCAGGCTGCAGGGACCAGTTCACCTCTGCTCCGAACACAGTCAGCCAGGGGTACCTGTGAGTCACCACCCCCTACAAGAGTGAGTCTCAACATCTTTGATCCCTCCTATTCACATAGGTGTAGTCTGCCCAAGGGGGCATTATATGAGCACGTTAGTTCCTTGGCACCACAAGACTTGCTATTTCTGGATAGGAGCTTGACTTTATCATTGCATAACCGAAGTGCCCATTAACAAAAGCTTTGTTCTTCTTCAAAACAATAGTGCCATCATCCTCTACAGAAACTGAAAACTGCCTATCAAGTCTCATTCAGGACCTTAACGCACAAATCACACAATCACACTTTAAATATTACTTTGAATAATTCTTCAGAGAATACACTTAGGCATTTTCTCACTTGTATAGAATCTAGAATCATATGAGGGAGAGGTCCTTAACTTTAACTCTTACAAGCACAGAGTGTTAAGTTTCATTTTCTTATTGGGTCTACTTCTAAATGATAATGATTATAAATAAGAATAATTTTTTATACGACTCTGCATGTCAGTAAAGATCCAATACTGTTGGGTTTGAAACTATAAATCAACGATTTTAAGATACATTGAAAGCTTGGCTCTAACAGTTAGTGGAATTTTACAAAACATACACAACTTTGAACTTATATCAATGCAACTTTTGACACTGATGATCATTTCCAGCCTCTTCCTGGCAAAGGTAAGCTGGAGAATGTAGAACCCAGACAGCAGAGGGACCTGTAAGAGGGGAAATGAAGGTGCGGTTTCGCTGCCTGGCTTCAAAGGCTGGCGGCAATCATGAGCCTAACCCATCTTTTTCCAGCTAGACCAACTTTCTGTAAAGACAGAAAACCCCTGAACAGCTGAATTCAAATTTCCCCTGCATAATTTTTAATTTAACAGTGTCCCAGTTTCCAAGTTATCACCTTCTAATCTCTGTAATCACACCAGTGAACCAAGTAGTCAGGGGGAGGGAATGCCTCGTCTAGTGTAGCTCAGGCCTCCCAGCTCAGGGTCTAAGTTTTCATTCTTTTCACTGAAGTTCTGGCTCCTTGATGCATCTGTGTTTATTCATTCAATTACAATTATAGACAGGAATGAAAAGACTGTAGTCTTTAGTAAAGATTTCTTTCCTTCCAATAAATTATTCAGTAGACAGAATTGAATACCCTTCAGTCTTGCTCATTGTTTGCATATATGAGCTCTGCTGTGTAAAATCAGCTGTTCATGTTTTCATGGTTCTCAGATCCTCTTAATAACAGATTTCTTTCTCTGTGTGCCTAGCTAAGGGCGCAGGCCCAGCAACTTCTCTCTGCTGCTTTATGCACACAGCATCAGAATACATACTCTATCTATGGCAGCAATAAAGATGTTCTGTTGGTAGAGGGGGTAATAGGGACAATAAAATCACTATAGAAATTTCCTGGGCAGATTCAGATTCTAGAGTTTATTATTGTTGTTGTTGTTGTTGTTGTTGTTATTATTATTATTTACTTGTTTCTCCCATGAACAAGAGGTGCTGACACAGGGTCTCAATGCCTCAATCCACCCCTAACTTCAGCCAGCCCTCGATCGTGGACGTACAAGTGCTGGACATACTCAGGGAGGTCTCCAAAGGAGAACCTGGACCCTTCCTATGAGGATCAGCCTCCCAGAGTGTCACATTTACCACTGCACCTTCCATTTCCCATGGATTCTAGACTTTGACTTAAAAGATCTGTCAACATTAGACTCACTTTATAAAAACTGTAAATATAGATCAGGAGATAATTCCCCTTTTAAATAAAATGGTTCCTTTTGAGATTGATTAATTACTCTGTATAACTAATTTGCTTTGAGACAAGGACTCTCTGTGTTTTTGTTTTGTTTTGTTTTTAATTTGCCAGAGGGTATGTGCACTTGCCAGAGAGAGAAAGAGAAAGTGAGAAGGCACCCCCTTTGGGCAGAGTCACACCTCAATATCTTCTCCTTCATTTTAGGATTTTAGGCACACAAGCACACATGCCCGGTGTTGCCTCTCAAGCCCTAGGTCTGGGACTCACACTGTAGCCAGGCACATGCGATCCAGACTCCTCAACCACCACACCAACTGCTGGTTCAATTCTTAGAGCTTAAAGGTCATTTGTGTTCAAACACTTGTACTCACTACCTTACAAGGTACTACCTTACAAAAATTTAAAAATTTTGACAACCTGTGGAGTTAAACACTTCATTATACTGAACCAAACTGACCTCCTATAGCTTTCACCAGTTTGGTTTTAATTCTGCCCTCTGGAAAGACACAAAATCAACCTAATCCCTCTACTAGACAGCTAATCTCTTTATGTGATTCTCTTAAATGAAATCATGGTGACTCAGGCTATAGTTCTATCAAGGATACAATAAACCCAATACCTTTCCCCTCCTTCTCTTTTCAGTGGCAGAGCAGGCTTCTAGGAGTCCGAGTATGCTGGGAGAAAGTAAAATGCTCCTCCCCGCAGGCCCAGGTGCTATGGCCTAGTGCAAGGCCCCAGCTGGTAGGCTGCCCTGGGTAGGGCTGGACAGACAGGCTCCCTTGGATTTTCCTGTGTTCCTGTGTCATGCAGCCTTCTGTGGGCTGACCTGTATACCTGGCCTGGAGATGCTCTTCAGTTTAAGTCAGAGGTCAAGGGCTCTTGATTTTTGGTGTGCATTAGAATCCATAGTTTTCCTCAGGGTCTAACCCTGGAGGATTTGATTTAGTAGAGAGGAGGCAGACCCAGTAATCTATACTTTAATGAACACTCCAGGTGCTGATGTGCTTGCTACACTTTACATTTTGAAAACCACTGCTGTAAGGGAAGGAACTTTCCCAGTGGGAAAAAAGATGGGCAATAAAAGTACCTTGATTCTGGTTTCATTTCATCATAAAGTACACACACTTAGCATTTAACTTCTTGGTCCTATCAATTTAAATTTAATTATTAAATCCCATGTTACACAAACAATAAAAACATTTTAGGTCATCTATTATTCACCTCACACTAATCATTAAGTTTACCAACATTCTTCCAGAGTAAGGAAGGGACTAATTGCATCACCTACAGTTTACAGACTGATAGACGGAAGTTCTTACTGGAAAATATTCAATGTAGGCCTTAAAGAGGGAGCCAAGCTCCTGAGTTATGGCATGTGCCCTGTCTTGGACTGGCCAACAGAACAAGGCTCAGGGCCAGAGTGAGGAACTTACGGAAAGCAACATTTTGGTCCCACACTTAGCTGATCAACCTTGTGACTGAAGCTAACACATAAATCATACCTTGATAAGCACCTCCTCACACATCCTATGCAGTTCTGTGGGAATTTTAATAAAGCTGGAGAGGGATTCCAATACACAGGTTACAACAAGCTAAAACAGTCACGGTAGTCTAAATACCTGGAGAGTTTAATTATGCAAAGAAAACCCTTCTTTCCTTTGAGAACAACAGCCTGTTTCTTTTCAAAATAGCTGCTGTGATTCTTTTAAAAACAGAAAAGGTGTCTCATCTCTAACTTAGCCTTGAAGTTATGCTACCCAAAGCAGCCCTGGTGACCGTGTTTTCCTGGGGCAAAGTGAACCTATATGTCCTACCTAGTAATTTAGTACTTCAGTAAATTGACTAACAAAGTTGAATAACAAATTTAGAAAAAGATTTTGGTGATAGTAACTTATTTTCCTACCAAGACACTTCATGCATGTTTTTACAAAATAAAATTGTTTTAAAATAAAGGTAGCAAAAACATCTAACTTTCATTTTCTGTTAGAGATGACGACGTTCACTGGCTCGCTGATCTTCCTCTTCTTCCTGGTGCTCTCAGAACTTTGCTGACTGCACTCAAAATTTATTCTTCGAACCTGTGAGAATCACCAGAGAGAGGCACAATTCAACAGAGATTCTGACATCTGTACAAGACATCTGTAAGACAGGTAGACCAAGCATTAATCCCTCAAGCTGCATAATGGATCCAAACCTGCTTTCTTGTGAATTGTTTTGGCCCTGCACAGAGGCCCTGCTGCCAGTATCAGAGTCTGGTATTCCAAGTTTCAGGAGCTGAGGTCCCCTGGAGGCAGCCAGTTTCTGGGACAGTTTCTTGGCTCTCTCTAGTGAGTTCAGCACATTCCAGCTCTTGAGGGAAGGTTTGTCAAGGTGTGGAGCCAACAAGGAGCAATTAAGGGTCAGGAGAGATTGAGGGCACTGATTGCTTTAGAGGCACATATAACTTAAGTCCCAGTTTCAGCTAGCAGAGACATACAGCCTTGCCTTTTTTATCATGTGGCAGATGAACAAATTAGGAAAGACCTTGACCCTTCTATTAAACAAAAATATATGTTATTAGGGCCAGCAGGTGGCATATATCAAAAATCCCCCTCAAAAAAAGTATATATTATTGATTAAAAAACAGATTAGTGATATACACAGACACACATGCACACATTGCTTTTTTCTTCCTTGGGCTCAGCCTTGGTAAAGTTTTTAGAATTTACTTTTGCTTAACTGAGGGAACAGTCAGATGCATTATAATCTTTCAGACTCTCCCCAATGCCTGAAATTCCCAGAAATATAGAGGACATTTATATTTTTTTTCAGCCACTAGATGGGAGGAAAGTTTTTCCATGTCTTCTGTTCTTTCTTTGGAGGGAAAAGTGGAATAAGATAAATATATTTAAAGCAACACTAGTCAGATTATCTATTAGAGTCTCCAACACCGTTCTTTTTCTTTTACATTAAATGCATGTTATTATTCACATGTACTTACATATACACATGTAAGTACCATTATTCACATGTACTTACGTGTAAGCATGTAAGCATGTAAGTATCATTTACAAAGATTAGATCTAAAAATGGCTAATGTAAGTACTAACTTATCCTTCAGTTTTAGAAAGCAGATAAATTCCGGATCTCAGAAGTCACAAATTTCCTTTGTCTTAAACTAAGACAATGACTACAAACAGTAAAACTCAGAAAATAAAGAGAGCTGCTCAAGGAACTGGTTTGCTTATACATGTAAAAGTTTGAAATGGTCTGCTTTAAAGGAAAAGAAATAGCAACAGAAAAACCCAAAGCACAGAATTTGTTACAATTTGGTTGGAAGAAAGCATACTTGATAAAATTTGGCTTATCCAGAAATATTGCATGGGCATGCTTTCCATTTGAACCAAGAGATCCTCACTTCTATCAGTTCTGGGTGCACATGAGAGTAGAAGAAGTCAGTTTGGTAGTTTAATATAGCTTTGTTCCCTTTTTATTCTACTATTAAAACAATTTTGTAAAAATAATTATTTATTTAATTTTATTATTCTTTATTTTGACCAGAGAGAGACAGAGAGAGAAAGAGAAGAGAGTGAGAAAGCAAGCCACCAGGTCCAGGACTCAAACCATGGTCAGCCATGTGGGAATCCAGTGTCTTAACCATCATGCCACCTGACAGCCTCCCAGATGATTTTACTACATGTTGTAAAATTGCAATTTTATTGCAGTGAGTTAGTAAAAGCATCTTCAGTAACATATACAATCACAAGGCAAGTGAGGCCTGAGAACTCTTGATGTTTTATAAAAATATAGTCAGTCCAAAAACAAGTATGTTATCAGTCAAGGGACACTTTGAATATAGTCAGTCCAAAAACAAGTATGTTATCTGTAAAGGGACACTTCCTAACACAGATAAATAATCTATATGATCCAACAAATTTATTCATACACACGAAGACTTAAGATACATTTTTTAGGTGTATTCGAATTGGCTGAGTTTGCATATTTGATGCCAAAGTCAACCAACCAAGAAAAGGGCCAACAATCAGACTGGCTAGACAGATTATCAGGATGCGTTGAGCAATATCAGATGATCATCAAATTATTTCTAATGCATTTTATATTTAATTAATTAATTTTGTCAGAGGGAACATGCATTTGCTAGAGAGACAGGGAGAGAGAAAGAGAGGAGTCAGCATCTCCATAGGGAATCCTCATATCACAATCCCTTCTCCTCCATTTCTTCCTCCTTTCAAGACTTCCTGCATGTAACACACATGTGTCTGGTGTGTTACATAAGCCATCAGGTCTGGGACTCGAACCATGCAGTTGGCCATATGGGATCTGGCTGCCTTACCACCAGGCTATGGAGTCTGGCCTATATTATATTATATTATATTATATTATATAGCTTTTAAAGCGCTTCTTGTACAAAAAGTGCTTCTTATAACAAAAGGCTGCTATAATCTGTTTACCAATAGAGCCTCAAGAATAGAGTATCCACATTTGTGCCTGAAAAAAGCCCTGAAAATATGCTTTCTGCTGGATTACATTTCCCAACTTTCCATTTTTGGTTTATTTTATTCTGCATTTGAGACAGGTTTTATCTTAAGCACAGCTAGCTAGTTGATTTGGTAGAAGGAAATGACCAGCACTGGAAGGGATCCCTTCTAAATGTCCCTATCTTTTTTTTTTTTTTTTGGAGAGATTTTCGCTATAGGGCGCGAGCGCTCGCCAGACAGACAGAGAGAGACATAGAGACAGAAAGCGAGAAATCACCCCCCAGTTGTCGCACCGCAATCCCTTCTCCTCCATTCTCCTCTCGGGATCTTGGGCACGCATGCACACGCGCCCGGCGTGAGTTTTAAGCCACCGGGTCCGGGATGTGAACCGCGGTCGACTACGTGGGAGTCCAGCGACATAGCCATTATGCTAACTGCTGGTTCCCATCCTATCATTTTTTTCCCCCCCTTTATGCATTCCCTTTAACAATGCTTGTTTCTTGGATGTTCTTATAAAGTTCTGTCTTTGGCTGTCTTTTCTCCTTATTCTCTATACCCTGAGTGACCTCATCCACACTAAGAATCAATTACCATTCAAAAGCAAAAGCACTCACATTTGTGTGTTCAACCTACATCTTCTTTCTGAACTCCAAATCCATATGTGTATATCCAGCTGCCTAGGAAATGTCTCCACGTGGATGTCCCAAAGACAACTCAAATGCAGTATACCCAAACTGGAATTCAACATCTGCCTCCCTAAGCCTGCTCCCAATCTTTGTTCTCATTCACCCAAGGTGTCTGAGTTAAAAATCTGAGAGACAGGGCCAGCAGGTGGTGTGGTACTTTGGGTGCTGGATCCCACAAGACTGACCACAGTCTGAATCCTGAATCTGGCAGCTGAGAATCACACCAAGTGTGTGCATGTGTATGCCCCAAATCCTGAGAGGACTATAAAGAAGGGATTTTGGCATGCCCATCCCCTGGCCGGGGGGTAGTGGTGGTGGTGGTGGTGGTGGTGGTGGTGGTGGTGGTGGTAATTTCTCACTTTCCCTCTCTTTGTCTCTCTCTGGCAAGTGCATGAGCCCTATGGCAAAAATCTAAAAAGCAAAAAACAAACAAAATCCCTGAAAGTCATTCCTGACTATTCCATCATTCTCACGCTAACAACTAGTTAATCACCAATTCCTATTGGTCCTACCTTGTTAATAGCTCTCGGATCCATACATTTTTCTCTGTTCCTGTTCTCGCTGCTTTAATGCAGGCCAGCACTGACTTTCCCAAATTGCTGGGCCTTCTTCCCATTCTATTCACCTTCTGCCTTCAGGCCCTGGATGTGTTCAGTCTCCTGCCTTGTTTCTCATGCTTTCTTCTTCCTGCTTCTGGACTCTTATACATGATGCTCCTCTGCCTAAAGTGTTCTTTCATCTATACTGCCCCTCACATTTGCCTAGCTAATTCCTACTCTTCAGGTATCAGATGAAAAATTATTTCCTCAAAAATCTTTTCCAGGGTTGGCAGGTGGCGCGGTGGTTAAGGCAATGGACTCCCACATGGCTGATCACAGTTTGAGTCTCAGACCTGGAGGCTTGCTTCTTCCCTTTCTTCCTCCCTCTCTGTCTCTGGTGATCATATATGCCCTATAGTAATAAATAATAAATAAAATTAAAGAATTCCTTAAAAAATTCTTTTCTATCCCCATCTTAATTAAGTTAGCCCCCCCAATCATACACTCTATAGAGTTGAAGGAAATCAAATACATACTGATTTTGGTCACAACTATTTTACCAATATCTAGCAAGGACACTGGACTTAGTAGGGGCTCAGTAGATATCTTCTGATGGATGAATTAATTGAATGAATGGTTTTTCAAAATCACTCTATCTATTAGGTTGTCAGAAAAGTCATGATACATTTTTGCACAGAAAAAACACGTCATGACTTTTCTGAAGACCCAATAGAATGTAGAAATGTATTGGTGGCACCAAGTGAATGCAAGGTGGTGAGTCTGCTACAGCAGTAGCCAGATGATAACTTTGGTGGCAGTGGGGAGAAGTCAACATTGAGAACAATCTTAAGAAGGTGGAGTCAGAAGGATGGTCAGTTGGCTATGGGGGTAAGAGAGAGGTAGTGGGTCACTAACAGTTTCCCAGTTTCTAGTTTGGCTGTGTGGATGGAGGTGTTGTTCTCTCTGGTAGAGAACAATAGGATTTTAAAATTTGTTGTTTAGAATGCCTGCAAAACCCCCAGGTGGACAAACTGAGTAGGTGGCTGAATGCTGAATTCTGAAACTCAGGAGAGAGGTCTGGGTTGGAGATGTAAATCTGAGAGTCATCAGCATATGGAAGATAATTAATGCCATGGGTGTGGAAGAGTGCTTATTGAGAGATCAGAGCGTGAGAAGGGAAAGCGGCCAGGACATAGCCTTAAGAAACTCCAACATTCAGAGATTAAGAGGAAGATGAGCCAACAAAGGAGACTGAGAAAGAAGACTAGCAGACTGTCTTGTCAAGAATGCCAGGGAAGGGACCAGCAGTTGGCGTAATGGCTATGTCGCTGGACTCCCACGTAGTCGACCGCAGTTCGTGTCCCGGACCCGGTGG